CAAGCCGGTTTCAGCAAACCCCCCACATGGCAAACAAATCTCTGCTCTTGCTGTCCCCTATCCCAGGGGAGGTGTCTGTCTCTTCTCCTCACCTTGCAAGGACTAGCTCAAGTCCCACTTCTCCCACACCATCTTCTCACGCCTAGGTCTCCCTTTCTGTGACCCTTCAAAATGTAGTTTCTTTTCACTGCTGGTGGAAGAACTCTTTGCTAGACAAAAAGAAACGGTCCTTCCTTCTTCCCAGCTGTAGATAAGCAGAAACTATTCTGCTTCATACAATTGTTCTTGCAAATGTTATTCCTAACAAAGTAGCTCTTTGAAACATCAGGGCTTCTGCCATTGCTGGTATATCCAATGAAAATAACCTTTAATTTCAAAAGGGCCTTTAATGATTAGATGTTACGGGGCTGCACCCCACAGGCCGGCCAACCTTGTAGTTGCCCAGTCACGAGACAGAAGGGTGAGCCCTGGGACAGCAAGAGAGTCAGTCATCAACGGTTTTGTTGGGTAGGGGGTCTTACACGTCTGAAGCAAAGGGTCCTGGAGTGACACCCCTCTGTGCACCGCCGAGGGAGGCAAGACGTGGCAGCAACCCCCACCACCCAGGGGCGAGGGAGGCTCCCATTTATAGGGGGAATTGATGGCAGGTTGGCTCATTAGTTACCAGGGAAACCAGTGGTGGGGGCGGGACAAGCACGTAGGCAGTTACTGATTAAGCCCCGTAATTAAGAGGATTGGATAATCATGTGAGTGAAGCAGGGATTCGTCAAGCAGGGAATGAAGAGAGCGTGAGAGAACAGCCGTCTTGAATGGGCTGACCATTCAGACCTCTTCCTTAATGATTGTTGGCATCTCTGTTTTATGGAAGGTACAAGTACTTGTGACTTTGTTTTGTTAAGCTGGTAGAGGATCACTGGCATTTTCTTCTTCTCACACATACATAAGGTTAAAAGTAAAATGACGCTAGGAGATCTCTGATTTACACAGAATCTGAATATCTGCATCACATTTAAATTTAATCCATATAATAATTCCTGAAAGAAGAGTGAGCACAGAGTACCTTATAAGTACAGAAGAACATCCACCTTGGACCACATTTGGAGATAGTTTATATTCTTTCAAGAGTCAAGAAAGCTTGCACTGGGTGGGGGGATGGGCAAAATAGGTGAAAGGGATTAAGGAGCACAAACTTCCACTTATAATAAGTCATGAAGATGTACTATATAGAATAGGAAATATGGTCAACAATATGGTAATAACTTTAAATGGTGACAGATGTTAACTAGATTTATCACGGTGATCATCTTGTAGTGTAGGTAAATGTCGAATCACAATGTTGAACACCTGAAACCAATATAACATTGCATGTCTGTTATACTTCAATTTAAAAAAGAAAGAATGCCTGCACTGAATGTGGAGCAAAACAGCAGACAACTAGTGGAAAGGCATTCCAGCCACAGGGAACAGTATGTGCACAGGCACAGAGTAAAGAGAGCATCACGACTTCAGAAAACAACAAATAGTCAATGTGACTTTTCTGTGACAATGGAGTGGAAGATAAGTTTAGAGAGAGAGGCAGAAACAAGATGAGGTGAATTGCGAGATTTTCTGTGCCAATTGGAATCACAGGTTCCTTCTGATAGTCCCAGGCACGTTGTAGGTAGGTGACCGCCAATATTCTCACTTGCAGTGAACTAGATGGCATGTAGGTTGAAGGGGATACACAAGCTGTGCCAATATTTTTGGTGTTTGAGAGGTTTGGGGGAAAGAGCAAGTCTAAAAATCATGAAATTGGATGGCTATTGCTAAATTGATTTGTTCTACAGAGAAAATGACAGGATTAAATCTATTAATTGAAGATTTAAAGCAAAGTGTAAGAGTCAAAGACCCTCCTTGGGAACATTTAAAGAAATCATCTCCTGAAGACAGAGAACAGACAAAACTACCTTTTTAACTGTAACAGAAGCAGAACATCGGAGCAGACTGAGTTCTTAGCCTAAGCAAGTCTCTTACACCCTGATAGGAAAGGGATGGGACCTGAAAATTAGAATGGGGTTATCTGGGTAGATGCATTTGAGAACCTTAAATTCTTGGATTCCCCTGAAAGCCCTAGTCCTAAAGAAGTGTACTCTTTTCTGGAAGATAGAGAACTCCCTTATCTGAAGACTATGTAGAGGACTCAAATGAGGCAGGTGCCCTATAATACAAAGTCTGCCCTCCTAAAGATCTGCTCTCACCTCCCCTCCTCATCACCAGACCCCAAACTAGGTTCAAATCTCATACGACTGGAGAAAGCACTAGCATCATTGAAAAACTCAATAATGGCTGTCCTCTGTAGCCTTGGACTGACAAGAGGAGAAGCTGTTCCTGAACCAGGCTCCATAGCAGCAATACGGATGGTTGGATCCCAAAAGAGCAAAGTTCCAGCAGCAGCATCTTGCTGTCAGAAGCAAGGGGAGGCATAATAACATGGTGGGCAACAAGATCAGGATGGCAACCGGGAGGACCTAACCTCAGGGATCTACGGAGATGCTCATGGAAACGGGTGCTAAAGGCAAGATTGATGGGCAGCCAACAAGGGAACTGCTTAATTTATATACTCAAAAGAGATGAAGAATATGTGAGCAAAAGGCCTGAGTCACTGCTCCATGGAAAGCCAAAATTCCTTGTCCAATTTCCAGTCATGAGCCAGTTCTCGTGGCCAAAACCATCAAGTGAAGGAGAGGCCATGTCCCCATAAGAAAAACTCTGAAACACTGTGCAAAGTGAATACAGTTAGGGATTTTCATAGTACCCCAACCCCAAAGAGATTACTTATTCAGGTAACTATATACTAGGGAAAGGGAACCCACAGATCTTTAAAGAACTTGTTAGGATTCAGGGGTGAGTTGATGTTGATCCCTAGGGACCCAAAGCTCCATCATGCTCCCCCTGTTAAAATAAACATGTCTGGAGGTCAGGTTAAAAGTCTTGGCCCAGGTTCATCTCCCAGTAAGTACACTGACCCACTTTGTGGTCATTTCCCTGGTTCTTGGGAACAGCGCTTTTAGCATTTGGCAGAACCCTCATACTGACTTGACATGTAAGGTGAGAGCTATTTGTAGTTAGAGACTCAGTAGAAGCCACTGAGACTGCTCCCTTCCCCATCAACAGAATAAATCAAAAACTATTTGTATCCTGGGTGAAATGGCAGAGATAAGTGCTACTTTTGAGACTTGAAAGTACTACAAACCTACATCATATCCCCATTTAGTTAATCAGCCTGACCCCTGAAAAAAACTACATGGGTCACAGCAAATGACAGAGGAATAGCGCAAACTTTGTCTTTACTAAAGCAAATTATCACAGCCTCAGCTACATGGCAAGTGTCTACTGATTTAGTGAAAGCGTTCTTTCCCATCCCCATCATATAGGAAGATGCACAGCAGTTTGCTTTCACACTGGACAGATTTCCTTATGCAATTACAGTTTCATATTCACATTCACAAAATTCACATTTCTCCAAGGCCATGTTGATTCTCCTTCCTTTTGTTATAATAGACTACAGAAGGTCCTAAATTGTTTCACCATCCCACGAAACATCATATCTAATGAGCAAAAGATGACAGAAGCTCTGAATGCCTCGGTAAGACACACGTGCTTCAGAGAGTAGGGGATAAACCCCGCGAAGTTCAACATCTTTTAATGAAAAAAAAATTTCAGAAAGTTAGAAATGAAAGGGACTTTCGTTAATCTGATAAAGTCTATACATAAAAAACCTATAGCAAACATTCACAGATGATATGAACATATACAGAAAATCCAAAATAATCAAGAGACTAAAACCAACACAAGAGTTCATCAAGCTTTCCAGATTGAAGGTCGACTGACTAAAATACATTTGTGGCACTTCTTCCAAAAGTGAATCCAATCATGAGAAACATCAGACAAACCAAAATTAAGGGACAGTCTTGACACAAACTGCCTATTGTAGTCGGCAACAGACAGCTACATCCTAACCCCCAGAACCTGTGAATGTGTTAGGTTATCTGACGAAGAGGATTATGTTTGCAGATGAATTAAGGTTGCAAAGCAGCTGACTTTGAGAGGGGGAGAGTGTCCTGGATTATCAAGGTGGACCTAATTAAACCACGAGGGTCCTTATGAGTGGGAGAAGAAGGCAGAAGAGAGAGGACCAGAGAGGTGGCAGCATAAGAAGGTCTCAGCCAACGTTGCTGGCTTTGAACGTGGAGCAGCAGAGCCTCGGGCAGAGGAGTGCAGGCAGCTTCTAGAAGCTAGAAAAGGCGAGCAAATGGATTACCCTCTAGAGCCCTCAGATGGAATACAGCCCTGCTCACACCTGGATGGAGGCTTGTGAGACCCACTTTGGACTTCTCAGCTCCAGAACTGTATGATAACAAACTTGTGTCATTTCAAGCCACTAAGTCTGTGATAATTTATTACAGCAGCAATAGAAAACTGTTATACCTGTACCTTCAAAAATGTCAATGTCATTAAGGAAAAAAAAAGATTAAGAAACTCTTACCGATTAAAGACTAAAAAGATGTGACCACTGGAATCATTGCCTGACCAAAATTTTCTTTTGCTATAAAGAACTCTGTTGGAACAACTGGCAATTCTGAATACGGTCTGTAGATTAGAAAACACTATTGTGTGAGTGTTAACCTCCTGGTTGGCTTTGATCACTATACTGAAGTTACTAGGAGAATGCTCTTGTTTGGGGAATACATACATTGAAATATTTACGACGAAAGGGGCATGGTGTCTACAACTTACTCTTGAAAATTCAGAATAACTGTACACATAGAGAAATATCAGACTGTTAACAATTGGCTCTTTGTATTAGTGTTGCAACTCTGTTACCACTTTTCTGTAAGTCTGAAATTATATCAAAATTAAAAGTTAAGAGGAAAACGTTTTTAGTTCCAGTTGTAGCAAGAAGAAAACAAAACAAAATACCCAGAATCAAGGTATTCGCAGATACCTTTATTTTAGGTATATTTCCAATGACTAGAGGAAGGTGAATTCCAAAGTAGTATGTAAATATTGACACTGGTAATCTAAGGTCAGTTAACTTTTGGGGGTCAAAACTGCTCATACAAACATTTCTAGATATCAATATTATACTTCATTTCCTCTCTCTCTGTCTCACACACACACACACACACACACATAATTTCTTTTATTTCTGTAAAACCAGTTGTGATGTCCTCACTTTCATTTCCGATCTTAGTGCTCTGAGTCTTCTCTCTTTTGCCCCCTGTTCCGTGCAGCTAAAGGTTTGTCAGCTTTGTTGATCTTGTCACAGAACCAACTTTTGGTTTCATTGACCTTTATTATTTTTCTGTTCCCTATTTCATTTATCTTCACTCTAATCTTTATTGTTTCCTTCCTCCTACGAGCTTTGGGTTTAGTTTGTTCCTTTTCTTATTTCTTAAACTCTAAAATTAGGCTTTTAATTTGAGATCTTTCTTGTTTTTTTATGTAAACATGTATAGCTATAAATGGCCCCGTTAGCACTGCTTTCACTGCATCTAAGTATTTTATTTAAATTTTAATTTTTTTAATCGAGGTATAATTGACTGATGAGTTTTGTTACGTTGCATTTTTTTCATTCATCTCTAAGTATTTTCTAATTTCCCTTGTGATTTCTTCTTTGATCCATTGGTTGTTTAAGAGTGTTGTTTAATTTCCACAAATGTGAGAATTTTCCAGTTTTACTTCTGTTGCTGATTTCTAACTCACCCTGCTGTGGTCACAGAAGATACTTTGTATAGTATCTATCATTTAAAATCTATTGGGACTTCATTTGTAGCTCTATCACATGCTCTGTCCTGGAAAATATCCCGCATGCACTTGAGAAGAATGCACGCTGCTGCCTTTGGGTAGAATGTGCTCTGTATGTCTGTTAGATCTAGTTGGTTACTTATCTACTCTCCAGTTGTTCTGTATTTGATTTTAATACAAAGACTGTTTGCTTTTATTTCCTCTCTTGCCAGCCCACATTCATGCTTGCATCTGGCAAAATGTTTTATACCAATTCTTACCTAATCACAAACAGAATCACAAGGAGCAAGATAATTTCTAAGGCTACAGTCTGTTTTTAGGTTTTGCCTAATTGTGTGTTTCATCTGTTTCAAGAATCCTCCTCACTTGGTACTAGAGATCCCAGGCATGTTATTAGCATCCCTTTAGTTTTAATTATGTGTGTAGTCAGAGTCACTGCTCACCACCGTCTCCTGGACTGTCCCACTTCTCTGTCTTGAGGCTCTCTATTCCAATTTCATTCTCGATTTGATAAAATATTTTCGTTGGGTGGAGTCTATGTGTGGTAGTTTTTCTGACTCTTCGTATGTTTGAAAATGTTTTCCTTTTACGCTGCCAGATGAATGATGCCCGTGCTGGACTTAGGATTATTGATTCACAGCCTGTTTCCCTCAATAGCCTGTAGACATGGTTCAACGATCTTGCTTCTTTCATTGCTGTAAATGGAAAACATTCAACGTCATAAGTCAGATTCTTCTTTCCTTTTGTAGGTAACCTGTTCTTTTATAAGAGAAGTTCATAAGATTTTCTCTTTCTCCTTAAAGTTTAAGTGTCTTTTGGTCTTTTTTAAAAAAGTCATGCCTGGGATTACCCGAGCTTTTTCAATCTGGACATTCACCTTTCTTTAGGTCCAGGAGGTTTTCATCTGTAATCTCTCTTTTTCCTTTTAATTATTTATACCCATGTGTGTTTTTCACATATAGACCAAAGGACTGGAATTTGTCTGGGTTTTTCAATGGTCAAATAAGCCCACATTCAACTAGACAAAGCTGTGTTTTTCTATCTGTGCTTTAATTTCTACTTCTCCATCTGTTTCCCTTTTTCACCCTCTGTAATTCCTGTTATTAGCTTGTGTAGCTTCCCTGACCTATCATTTGACTCAGCTATTTTTTTCTTCCATGATTTTGATTTCTTTGTATTTTTACTCTAAATTATAAGGGTTTTTAAATAAAAATGTTAATCAAAATGTTAACTCAGTTCTCTGCTCTGACCATAACTTCTTAATTAGTTTGCCAGTTTTTTAAATTCAGAAATCATGTCTTGAAGTTTTGGAATGTCTTTTTTGGCTTTTAGTTGCATCGCCTTTGGAGTTCTTGGACTTCTATTTCAGTTCTGATTTTTTTTAAATCACTCTTGACTTCACCTCAAGAGGACCCACCTGTTGTGACTGTCCAACTTTGTCTCTCTCTCCTCTAAGATACTGTCCCCTTAAATGGACTCCAATTCACGTGTGAGCTGGGGTCTTCTATGCGATGGCAATCCAGCAGAAGACGAAAATTATGCTATTTGTTATGGAGGGCCAGTAACAAATGGGCTGATAAATCAAGACCACTCTTTTGCTTTCTGGCCTTTTTGGGTATAAGTGAAGACTCATATTCATCTCTCAACTAAACTTTTAGGCACCGCCCACCTTCCAAGATTGCTGGCAAGATCAGCCCCTCCAAAGACCACATGAGGCAAGAACAGAACAAATGAAAAGCTTGATCAATTTCACGTATTAAAAATTTAACATCGTGAGCAAAAACCTTCAAAAACAAAATGAGAACAAACAACATACATGAGGAAATACTTGTAATACATGTCAGAAATCTTTTTTAAGCCTTAACATTTGAGACAATCCTCCTCTACCCTCTTCCTTTTTGAATAGGTAATTTTTCCAAGTGGTATTTACATCAAGAGGAAAACACAGAACCCAAGCTAAGTCAGTTGGATTTTTTGACCTGGGAATCTGAATCTTGAGACAGCAATGATGTCTATGGCTACTAGTAGTCACACTCCTTGAATTCTCACTCTGTTCCAGGCACTATTTCAAGCATCTTATAGCCTTGTAAATAGCTCTATTAATGAAGTGCAATTATTATGTCTATTTTGCAAATGGGGCTAATTACACTGTCACCAAGAACAATAATCTGGGGATACCTTAAAGATACTGTAGGAGTTATCTGCTGCTGCAAAACAAATTACACCAAAACTCACTGGCTTAACATGACACACATTAGTTACCTCGCAGTTTCTGTGGGTCCTGAATGCTGGAGCTTCTTAGCTGGTGGTTCTGGCTCAGGGTCACTCGATACAGTTAAGTGTCAGCCAAAGCTGCAGTCATATGGGAGCCTGACTGGGGACTGGAGGGTTGCTTCCCAGACGGTGCACTCATATGGCTGTTGGCAGGAGGACTCAGGTCATCACCATCCAGGCCTCTCCATGGGGCTGCTTGACTGTCCTCATGACATGACAGCCACAGGCTTCTCCCAGATCAAGTGATCAAAGAGGCGGGGCTTGGGGAGGGGGGGACAAAAGCCAGTGTGCTCTATAGCCCAGGTCCAGAAGTCACAGGCCATCGTTTCTGGCATGTTTTCTTCATTAGAAGTAAGTCACTAAGTACAGCCCACATTCAACAAGAAGGGATTAGGCTCCTCCTGAAGGAACGAATATCAAAAAATTTGTGGGCATAGTTTAGAACTACAACAAATACCACCCATCAGCTCTGTAAGGCATCAGCAGATCTTCCCTGGCTCCCACCTATTCTGTGGGCGTGTTCAGTCTTTGCCTCATTTCTTTGAATAACATTCCTTTAAAACAGTCCCTCCCTTTTATCTTAAGTTACTTAAGCCATTTCTGCTGCTTTCAATGACAGCATTAAGAAAAAAAAATTTTAATTCTCCCTTAGTCATTCCACTCTGAAGTTCTATTTATC